TGGATGTAAAAAGTATGTTCAAGGCACGCTATGAAAGGTGTTTGTTCTGTTCATATTAGTTTTCCGTCACTACTATAGTGCAAGAGCAAGGTGACGTCGTACTCCCAAGACACAACAAATTACTTAGCTAGCGTTTGACAATAGGTTTTTAAATTTATTTTGACCAATTTAATTTGGGTGAAGTTTGGTTTGAAGATGAAAATGTGTTTGGACATCAGTTTTCAAAACATGCTTCACTTTTTAAAAAAACAAACATGAAACATGGAACATGACTTATATCCACAAGTTCTAAAAACTATCACAAATACCCAATAATACCTTCATCAATAACATTCATTATCATTATCACAAATCATAGTCCTGAACATAAATAAATTTGACACAAAATTATCATTTTTATAACGAACTACATAATACACTATCAGATGACCGAGAAGACGAAGTAGCATTATTACAAAATAATAAATGGTGACCTCTTTTATAAAATACAAAAATTTGGGACAATTTTTGAAATTTTTAAAAATGTAATAGTAAAATTTTGGGTCAGAACTAGCTTTTGAACTGGTTTTGGGATTTGGGTTTTGAGATTTAAGAATTTGCCAAAACATGAATAAAATTTATGAACAAACATATATTTTTCAAAATAAATTTGGAAAAAAATTGGCAAATCTTCAATTGTTTTCTAGAAATCAGAGTGAGAGAAGAAAAGGGACTCTGGAAGGGAGTGAAAAGATGAAGTGCTAAAAGATGACGATTTCAGGATTTTGTAGATTATGTGGGGGTTTGGACATAAGAATTGTAAAATTCCAAAAAAAAAAATTCAAGTGAAAATGATATTTGAAATTTAGAGTTGTTTTTGAATAAGAATATAATTTTGGGTTTTTTTTTTGTGAGTGATCTGAATTTTGGAGTTTTTGAAATTTTCGAAAAATTTCAGAATTCATGTTCAAGTAAAAAATTGAAAATTCTATGGCCAAACACTAATTTCGAAAAAAAAGTGAAAAGAATTTTATGTCCAATCGGGCTCTATATTTTCTTGGTGGTAAGATAGGATATATTCATAGAGAGTGAAACATATAAACATAACCTTCTATAAAGTCCGAATACACCTCTTCATTAACGTATTGTGTGACCAACAATAATCAGATAATCTTTTCAGAAAATATTGTGCATTTTCAATAAAAAGCATAATTAAGTATGAATTAAAAACTAACAATTACCTCAACTCCCGGTTCTTCTCCGCAAATTCCCTACTAAGAATTCCATAGTTTTTCTTCTCGCTCTGGAAAATGCAATATTTGCTTCTTTTTAGTAAAGCTAGATCGAAATTAAGCTCAACAAGATTATTGTCACTAGAAGATATCAGAGTAGCAGATACAATAATATTTTACCTGAAGGTTAAAAGATTGCAGTTGGTCTGGACTATCCATATCCCTGTCTGAGTGCACCTTGTGCTTGTCAATCAGTTGCATCATACTGTGCAAGGATATATGACAATAATATATAGACAATCAACTTCTTAAAGTAGAGAAGATCACATATACATGAATAATTAGATTCGACTCTCATAAACCTAGGAATCGAAGTGTATATGCGAATATTTAGATTAGTAACGATGGAGAGTGTGGTCATTGCATATACCACAAAGGAAAATAGACATTTAAGCATCTAGTACCTAAGAATGCTTGAAAAATAAATGAGAAAAAACTAAAAAAAAAAAAAGGTACTATATAGCTTAAAAAGTTTTCTAATTTGGATATATCCTACTCAAAACTCACTAGATCATTAATTCAGATTCGTGTAGTATATATAGGCCCATTAAAGGGGAAGCAATCGTGTAAGTGACATGATTATGTAAATCATTTAGTACCTTTTGCATATAAAAGACAACCCCATTAGCAATATCCTATTTTATACACCCTCTATTTTAATTTATTTTATCTTTTTTAGTATACGAGGATCAAATTGACTAATTTTTATTGTGAATTCGGACATAGATTCTTTAAGTTTGAATAAAATTTACATATTTAAAAACTACATAAAAAGCACTATAAGTCATAACAGTTAATAATTCAATATCTAAAAACTATGGTTAAAAAAAATCTTGTTTGATTCCCCAAATAGTAATAGGTTCATTCCTTTTGAACCGGAGAAAATACAGCTTTTTTATATCATATAATTTACTTTATTTTTATAACATGAGAATCTTAAGATGAACGTTTTTTATCGTTTTCTGTACTAATTTTTATGATCTGGAAATAATTTGAATCTCTATTTTCCCTTTTAAACGTTGATAACATCTAAGTTTCACTTTAATCTATTGCTGATTTGATTAATTCTTTTTAAGGGAAATATCAAGCTTTCAATCTCTAGAGGTTTTCTGAATTCCTATTGTTTTTTTCTGAATTACTTGTGAGTCGTGATCATATATACTAATATAGGTTGCCGAGAGGGTCTATTCGTGAGGTCTAGGGTTAATTAATCATCCATCTTCCACATTTAAGGCGCAATACTAACTTGGCTATTTGTTTAATTAAAAGAGATACGCTTAGTGAAGAAGATTATACGGCTAGACCTATCTATAACAGTCATCTTTTAAAACAGAGCTTCACTATAACAGCTAAGTTTTCTTTGTAATTAATTTTTCATGTTATGTTATAATACATGTTTTATATAACACTTTACTATAGCAGCAAGTCTGCTATAGAAAGATTTGACCGTATATAGTGGTCGGGGGTAATTGAGAGATGCGCCTATAATATAGAAGCTAATTAGATAAAGTTGATTTGAAACTTAAGGCATTTCGATTCCTTAATTGTTAAAATCAAAGAAGTACTTCTAGTTAAGAAAGCTGTAAGTTGTAACAGTTGAATGTAATCAAGGAAGGAAGAAAATTGAACACCATAGGTTAGTCATACTAACAGGTGGGGTGTAGACTCAACTCATTAAACCAACTTATTTATATCCTTTAACCATCATTTGTGTCTTGAAACTAAATTCTTAGTTTGCTTTATTTCATAGGGTTACATTCATTCCTCAACTTTTTGATTTCTCAAATAATAAATAATTCAATGATGATCCCAAATACTACGCAAAATCGAAACCTAATCCTCACGGAATCAGCAGTTTCTGTACTATATCAAATGGGAAGATACATAATAACATACAGAGAGCACAAAATTATTGTGTAAAATTTTTAAATTTTGTATTGGATGCGGAACACAGTTTGCCATGGGTATAGAGTATACTTATCTGTGTGTAACTTCTGTACACTAAACATGTAAAAAGACAAAAAAAAACTTTACATTATTAGGTGACTGGAAAGTCTACATATAATCATCTATGGTAAGCATAAATTGATGGTTCTTGAAAGGGATTGTTACACAAATAGCAGGCTAGATTAACTGCTTACTTTTTTAGCTAGTATACATTGATTATACACATGATATATATATATATATATATATATATATATTGAATAATTTTAGTGTAAATTCAAATAAGATTTTTAAAATAAATCTTACATATTTAAAAACTATATAAAAAGCTTGTTTAACTCCCCAAATAGTAAAAGTTCATTCTTTTTGAAAAGGAGGGAGTTTGATAGAATTTTGTAGGGGTTCCAACCTATGTTGTGCGGACTTTCTAAAATATTATTCCATCCATGTCGGATCCTCCAAAAATACATTATTTTTAAAGAATACGACTTCTGGAGGATCCGACTCACATCCGACAATATTTCTAAAGAGTGCGAGCAACAAAGATTCCAAATAAAATTGTTTTGAAAGTTCCATCTATCAATCAACTATGAAAGGGACAAGTGCCCTTAACTTTCTTGCTAGAGAGTGGTGACAATATAATTAGCACCAAGAAGCCCCTTTGCCAATTCTGAACGCATCTAAATGAAGGTCACCCAAAATTAATCGAACACATATGCCAACTCGCTCTTTGTCAACCCACCGCCTCTTCCTAACAGTTGCCCTCGCCTAGATCTGAAGTATTTTCACCATCATTATGTTTTCTTTTCTCCGAAATCTAGATATATGAAGCTTCATTTTTGCGGTTTAATGCATAGATCATTGAATTGTTAATAGCTTTAAGTTGGACTGATGATATCAACATCTAATTATCATTATATGGACATACATTGACAGTGCAATGTTAAAGACTATCACAGTACTGTGCACACATAGATTATCTTAGACAAGAATCTTAAATTATCTGATACATTCACGACAACAATGCTACTTTTGTCACAAAAGGTATACTTCCAACTTCTAATATGCAACCCCTCAAAACTAAACATAAGGAAGAAATTCTGAAAACAAAAGAAGGATTAATTCATAGTCGAGGAGCAAAACTATGTATTTTGTCATATTTTTTTTTTTTTGGGTATAAAAGATGACTTGCATAAATTAAAAGTTACTAAAGAATGAAACTCTTACAAATGATCATATGTGTTAATTTTATACAGACGTATAGAACTTAAGCATTCTTAGTTCTCCTACCATAGTCATGAGTATTAACATATGTGTTCTTAAAGAAGTAGTTTTCTCTCTCAGTTCCCAAATTTGAGGACCCCGCTTGCATTATTTTGAAGGATATTTTTTGGATCTTTATTATATGTGTCATATTTTAAAATGAAGATTCAAGTACAAATCTCTGAAAGATACCGTACGGTAAAAATGAAAAAAGAAACAGCATTTTCTTATACATTCATAACCAATTTGTTAGTATTACACTAATATTATTACATAAAATTTCGATAAAGATAACAATCTCTTTTGTAATAATGATAACGAGTGTAGGACAGTCAAATGTAATGAGAAACTTTAATAACCTGGAAATATTTCCAGTCACTAGTTGTACTGCTTATTAATTACAAAAAGAAGCATTGCAGCCGAGTTAAAGCAAAATATTATGTTAACATCAAATATAGAATTATCAATCTTAATACTGCTAACTTTTACGGTTTTCCCCAAGGCGTGGAACTCTCCATATATAAATCTGATGGACAAGAAAAGTAAGAGATTTTCTTGGACAAGATGGATATCTGACACGCAAGTCATGGGCTTTTTTAAACTCCAAAAAATAACATCCTTTCATCAATTAGTGAACGAACCAAGTACTGGGGCGAGGTAGTTCATTGGTAAGTACCATTTATTTGAAGTATAGTTCATTCTTAATTCTTATGTATATTCAAATTGGATGAAGTACGTACTCATCCTTGGAATTCCAAGAAAATCTACCGTAACAAGTAATTGAAAAAAAAGCTGAGAATTAAAGAAAGAGAAATATATACCTGGAGCTTGAATATTCAAAAAGTTTTCCAGTAGCAGAGAAAACGATGAGGCCAATATCAGCATCACAAAGAGTGGAGAGCTCCTGAGCTTTCTTGAAAAGCCCTCTTCTTCTTTTTGAGAAAGTCACTTGCCTTGCTGTCAAGTTGTCAATCTTCTTGATCTGAATCTTTTGTCTCACCATTTTCACCTCTATATATCATTATCATTGCACAAAGTCAAAGATTGAAGTAATAGTAGGTCTAATATATAAATAATTAAGATGTAGAAATCTAAGTGTGAAGTCGAGAAAAGGATCTTATAAATAAGAAAACCTAGCCAGTCATTCTCCAAATTTGACTACAGTCGACACAAGAATCTTTTTTTAGTTTTATATATTAAAATATAGAGGAAATTAATTTTCAGAATGTTTGTACCTCTTATCATGGACAAGGAGTTAAAAAAGAACTAGTGAACCAACCATTTATAGAAAAATAAATAGAGCATAGTACAACTAAAGAGAATCCATTAACCCTAGAATTAAACAGCAAGAGAGATAAGGGAAATTAAAGAACCTGAAATTCCAAGAAGGGAGCTCAAAAAAAGAAAATAGAGGAGATCCAGAAATTAAAAGATGATCTACTACAAAATCAGAAAATAAGATAACTAGAAGAAGTGAATTAACTTAAAAAAGAAATAAAACGAAAAAGATGATGGAGATTTATAACCTAAAAATGAGAGAGGAAGAAGGGAATGGAGAGGAGATCTTGAAGTTATTACCTTTACTAGGATAGTATAATTAAGGTTTTGGTTAGAGTGCAGCTCTTCTAAAAATACACACCACACAGGAACAGTTTAGACCAATGGTATATGGAGAGAGAATAATGAAGATGATAAATGAGAAAGAGACTCATAAAAGAGAGAGCTCAGTCTTTTTCTTTTCTATTCTTTACTTTTCTTCTTAGTTTTTTTCCTTTTTGCTTGCCCTTATGGGTGAAATGAGTTTCCTATCATATTCCTTATAGCCAAAAACCCTTCCAAATTCTATATATGGCCAAACAGAGTTGCTACTAATTTTCTTTCACTTTCCTCTATTAGTAATATGGTAATCATAAATCATTTCCTGAAATTCACTTCCTTCCTTTCTTTTTTTGGTAACTTGATGAAAAAAGAGATTCTTCGGCATGTTTGTTTTAATATAACACAAATTAATGGAATATAGGTGAAAAAATATTTTAAAAGAAAAATACAAAAATTTAAATTTTAATTAGTTAAATGAAATAAAATTTCTTTAAAAAGTTATGAAAGTGATATCAAACGATATTATTAGTGAAATTATACCAAACATTTGGGACTTAGTGAGCGTTTGGACATAAGAATCGTAAAATTTTGAAAAAAAAGTGAAATTCTTTTTCAAGTGAAGGTATTTGAAAATTAAAGTTGTATTTGGACATGAATATAATTTTGGGTTGTTTTTGAATTTTTACAAGTGATATTGAGTGAAAAAATTTGAAAAATAACTTTTTGGAGTTTTTCAATTCGAAAATTTCCAATTCATATTCAAGTGAAAATTAAAAAATTTATAACCAAACACGAATTTCAAAAAAAAAGTAACAAAAAAACAAAAAAAATAAAAAGATTCTCATAGTTTTATACAACCATAATTTTCTCCCAAAATGATTTCTCAAAAACTTATTGAAAAATGAGAGACTTTGTTATTATTAAAAGTAAAAATAATAGGAATAGTAGTAGTACTAGAAAAGAGTAGTTAGATGTGTGTGGAAGTGGGGAAACTTTACCGTACCAGGTGAATGGTGACAGGTGACTGAGGAGCCATATCATAACACAGAAATTATGACTTTATTGTACCCTCGTATTGTTCCCCACTCTTACCTCTTTCTTTCTCATTCTTCAACTTCTTACAACCCACGCACCTCTATTTCCTGCATATATGAGCGGTAGTTTTCGTACTTTTTAGATTAATGGAGCTGACTTCATAACCACTCGCTCTACTTACTGCTCCATCTCCCCAAAAATTAGAGCGGAAAATGTCCAAATATACCTACCCGGAAAACAAGTTATATCATAATTAATTATTTTTGAAATAGTTGTTCCATCATCCCATATAAATAAAATATATTACAATTCCGAAATAATTAATTTTAAGATTAGTTATACCATAATTTTATTCTAATCAAACATCGCACAAACTCATCTCAAATTTAATCTCGGGATTAATTATTCATTATCCCTCGTGTCAAATGAGCCTTTAAGGTTAAGTTGTTTTATATTTGCCTTCCGTTTATCTATCAGTCCATGAAATGTCGCTCCATCATCGCAAATATGCCCATGTCATTATGAATTTCTACCTGAAAAAATTAGTCTTATTTGATGATACGATTGATGTCACACCAAATAGCATTTTATTTTGTCTTTTTCATTTATCTATGAGTATATTTTTACATTTTTAACTGTTTAGGGGATGTTCAAATGATTGCATAAGCGGATATATAAACCATATTCGATAGCTTAGGGGTAAATTTACATCTTTTGTTTGTCTACGTTGCTCCACCACGGCAAATATCAGATAATAGATGGACTACCATTAAAGGGAGAGGCATACTCAAGGGCGGAGCCACAATATTGGTTGCGGGTTCGATCGAAACCAGTAATTTTTGTTTAAATTATGTATTTGTATTAAAAAAATACAATAAATAAATACCAATTATTAATTTAAAACCCAGTAACTTAAAAAAAATTATAATCCCAAATCTATAAGGTTCAAATCCTAGTTTCACCTTTGGGCATACTTGAGATGAAAGATACGATTTTCCTGAATCAATGGGCATACTTGAGATGAAAGATACGATTTTCCTGAATCAAAATATAAACAGTGGTCAAATGTAATAAGACAATCAAATACTTTGGAGGTAAATTTAATAATGAGATTCACAGATTAACGATCGACATACTTAATATTTTCATATAGGTTGAGACACCAAGTTTTTAATTTAAAGTTTTAAAACTAATAAAGTTATATGTTACATCACAATCTTTATACTCCATCTATTTCAATTTATATGAATTTATTTCCTTTTTAGCAAGTTTCAAAACAAATGAATCTTTTCCTAATTGTATGACCTAAAAAATATTTTTTGATTTTATACAATTAATTTACTAAAAAATCGGGGTTAATCACAACCAACAGATCAATATTCAAGGACATATCTAGTGTTTTATGATAAATATGTTAAAGTGCAACACCAAAGAAGATAACTTTTGATAATAAATTAAAGAAGCAATAAAGATCTAGAAGTGTAAAGGGTAGCAGTAAATAAAAATAAATGACTTCTAAATAGTAAATGTGATAAAGACAACCTGACAAAGATGAGATTTTCCGATGTCTTTCTGAGAATGATGGATGATGATGAGCAACTTTGTATTCCAATCCTTCTTGGATCGGGTGAGAGGGATAAAAGAAATAAAGTATATAATAAAGTGAGAATCTTGTACAGAGAATGTTGATGAAATTCTTTACAAAAAGTTCAATGCCTTTTCCGATCTACATCCCTTCATACTTATAAGAGAACATGTGCGTCAAAACCCTAGTTAGTATAACAAAAAGGAATATCCATTAGAATATTCTATAGGAAACCTAAAACTGGTCGTCACTTCGTATCGAAGGCGGATGCTCATCCTCGTCTTCGTTTTCTGTTAAACTATTTGGACCTTCGACAATGATTTATCCTCCACACCTTACCTCGACCTTTTGGAGTTAGGTTGACACGTCACAACCTTCAGAGGCTATATTGACGTTGATTGGATCAAACACATAAAATAAATTTTTTGCCCATACAGTTAGTCCATCCACTTGTTGTAGTCGTCCTCAGGGATGGGATTGATAAGTGGATAATAACGGTCGTGGTCGTCGTCAAAGGCGAATGACGTGGAATTTTGAGAGCCACACATTTCATACTCTTGTCATCTTAATTTTTTCGAGTGACCTTTGGAAAGAGCCTGTCGTGGATAAGATGTGATGTCATTCGTCATGATGACGTCTGTTCTCGATGCGTCGCATCAGAACACGCATATCTTGTGGATTGGCTCTGCCGTTTCAACTGGAGCTGCCATTATGATGAGTTGCTTCGAATCCCAAGGTTTGTCCTTTACAAAAAGGGGGATGACCACTGTTATTTGAATCTTTTCTTCACTTTCGCTACTAGAATTATCTTTGCTTTCTCTAAATTTTGTTTTCTTGCCTACCATTCTCTAAAGCTTCCTCCTATTTTCTCAACTATTTCCTTCCCTAAACTCCATATATATCTGCAAACATGCCTAGCTCCCCTTCCGGCGTCCATGATAGAGGTGTTCCTAATGTGAATGAAGAGGTTCTGGCCACTCCATTAGCTATTGTGGCCCCTTTCCGTGGGGAAGATGCTACCGCCTCCTTTGAAGCGGAGGCTCTTCCCTCAGTGGAGGAGATCGCTCCTCATAACACTAGCACAAAGTCGTACTTGCATCGGCAACATGAGGCGGTGGTTGAAGTTTTTCGGTCTTCTTTAATGGCCAAGCGTTTGGAGGATTTCAAGGTCAAGTACTGCATTCCTGACCAAGTAGAGGTCATAATTGCAGGCAAGGACGAAGTGTATACTCACCATCCCCCTTTACGCCTACCCCTTCACCATCGGCTACTATTTTTCTCTTCCCCCTTTAGTAGAGGATTTCTGTCGTTATTATCGGGTCTGCCCGACCCAACTTGCACCCTTGGTTTACAAGGTGGTCAAGATGATATCTAAATTCGCTGAACTGGCCAACGTCGAGATCACTCTACGACATCTTATGCATATGTTCATGACCAACTTCTATCAGGTTACTATGTCAAACATTTGCCACCGTGGAAATAAATCTCTGGTCATTAAGACGGACGACAAGGGTAGTCGACAATTCTGGCTCGACTTCTTTTTTGTCAAGACCGAGTCTGTCGTGGCCGATATCGCAAACTTCTCAAAAGCTTGGAACCATGCACGCAAGTGTTTTTACTTATCTTCGTTCTTCCTTGTATTCGTATATTTTGACTTTGTGAATTAACTCATCTTTCTTTGCAACTACAAAGCTACTACTCGGAGCCTTCAGTTGGTGACACACCTTTCTGATTGGGTCAGGCAGGTCCTTCCCTTCACTGTAGGAATTTAAGATTGGTCGAGCTTCGTGCATAAGTACAAAGCAGCTCCCCCTCTAGCATTGTTCACACGTTTTTACAAATTCCTGAGCGTCTTTCTTCATGGCGGACCAATAGTATCCTGCCCCGTATGAGGCATCTAACAAATGATTGGTCACCGGAGTGATTGCCACAATAGTCTTTATGGACTTCCTCGACGACGCGTTGAGTCTAATTTGGTCCCAAGCACTTTGCTAAGGGCCCCCCATATGTCCTTTTATGCAATTCGTTGTTGAGATGGTTGTACCTTGCCGCTTGCATCCTCAACTTCCTAGCTTCCTTTTTATCATTTGGGAGAGCACTGTCCAATAAGTAATGTATGATGCAGTTGCGCTAGTCCCATTTTAAGTTAATGGATTTTAACTTGACGTGATCTAAGGCTGAGCTAAGGAGATGAACCAAAATTTTCTACCCAAGGGTTATGCTTTCTGTTACGCCGACCACTTTTGCTAGGCCGTCTGACTCGACATTCTGAGTTC